GTAAAAACTGACATTTACTATGAACCCATTATGCAATTTAAAATTCTTAAGGATTTTGTTTTTGTCCCTTTGTCACCATCTAGGAGGAGTAGATCAAGCAAGGTGGGGCAAAAATCTTAGTTTTTCCTGTGTAAAGTGTGCACTTATGTAAATGTAAGTAAACTGTGTGTTGGATAAAATATTTCAGAAAAGGTATTAAAACGATGAGGCATGTTGTAAAAGCACACTTGGTTTAATTATGACAAGGCTAATAGCTAAGCATATTTAGCTCCGTTAGTTCCTGCCAGATTCTTATTGGTTGAGCAGAGTTACTCATCTCTATTTCACAAGTTAGGAGTTGGGAGCACAGAGTGCTCAAATGATTTCTCAGAAGTAACAGCACGAGATGTTCATGTCAGGATTTAAAATCCAGGCATAACGAATATAAAACGTATCCTTTCTCCCTCTTGTTTATTTTTTTTAAAATGTGTTCTTTAAAGTAGTGCAAGCACACATATTTCAAATGCCAAATGACACCTGAAGCATGCTTCCTCTCTCCACGACCACCATCCCTGCCCCTGGGTGGAACCTAGATTAGTTTCTTCCATATTACTCAGCATTTCTTATATAAACAAAGAATGTACAGAGAGACCATTTCTCTCTTTCTGGCAAATGCCCAGTATGCGTATGGTTCTGCATCTTGCTCTCTAATTTTTCATGGTTTCCCAAGGGACCTTCTTCTTCATTCCTTATTTTCAGGTTCAGGGACCTCTAGTAACTATGTGTGCCATGATTTACTTAGCTGCTTCTCTAATGGGGGCCACCCATGTTCTTTCAAAAAACCTCTAAACACAAAATAGAAATGCACAAAACGTCCAGCAATTGGAAAGATAAAATCCTTTCCTCAAAAACGAGAACACTGTGAGTGGAGGAGATGGTTCAAGAGGGACTTGCTGTGAGTCTCAGCATCCACACAAAAAGCCAGATGTGGCTGGAACTCAAGAACTCTCTCTGTCTCTGTCTCTGTCTCTGTCTCTGTCTCTCTTTGTGTGTGTGTGTGTGTGTGTGTGTGTGTGTGTGTGTGTGTGTAATAGACTTGGTATGCAGAGACATGTACATCTTTATAGCTTGTTGCTAGAGCTTTCTTTGTCTCACCAGGTCTGGCAGCCACCTTGCCCCAAATAAGCACACAAAGACTTCCATTAATTATAAATGGCTAGGGATTCTTATTGGCTACCTCCCTCTAGACTATGAAACCATTTCTATTAATCTATGCATTTCTACATGGCCTTATCGTACTGTAGAATGCCTGACACATTGCCTACCTTTCCCAGAATTCTCCTTGTCTCCTAGCCCAGCCTATCTTCCTGCCTCTACAGGCTATTGGCTTAACAGTGCTTTCTTCATCAACCAATAAGAGAAACTTATATACAAAAGGGCATCCCCCCATCAATAGCTCACTTACCAGCCAATCTAGAGAAATGGGTGAGCTCTATGTTCAGTTGCACAACCTAAAGTAGGTGGGGAGTGACAGAAGACATCCTAAGACAACCTCCTGTCTCCATTCGCACTCCCCCACCACACACACATGGATTACATCAAAGGTGATAACTACCTTTAAAATAGTTTTGTTTAAAAATATAACACAAAGTCAGATACCCATACAATAGATCAGATATCTTGTCCTTCAAACACATTTATTGAAGTTGTGATCCTGAAGCCATGGCTCAAGGAGATGGGACTTCTGATAGATGATTGGGTAATGAGGATAGAATTTTCATGAATGGGATGAATACCTTTGGTAAGGATGCCCGAGTGCTTATGTCTTGCTTCTGACATATGAAGCCCAGTGGGCAGGCTCAGGAAGAATGGCCCATGAAGCTGCTTTTACTAGTTCCTTAACCCTCTAGAACCCTGACCCCAGACCTCTCAGGACTCAGGAGGATGAGAAATAAATTCCATTGCTTTTCGCTGTGATGGTTAATACTGATTATGAAATTTCTGGGTATATCTGTGAGGGAACTCTCAAAGGTTGGAAGACCCACTCTAACTGTGGATGATACCATTGTGCGGATTGGGGTTCAGGGGTGAATAAGGAGAAGGGGGACAGAGTCCTGCATTCATCTCTCTCTGCTTTCTGAATGCAGGAATAATGTGACCATCTGCCTCATACTCCTGTCGTGCTTTCCCTACTAGGTACACCCTACCATCTGTGACAAGTATACCCTCCAACTGTGAGCCAAAAGAAACCCATCCCCGCTCAAGTTGCCTTCGTCAGCTCTCTTGTCACAGAAATGAGAATAGTGGCTACAATATAATAGCCTCAGTAGTTTGTGGCATTAACTGCAGCAGCTTAAATGAATTACACAATCAACACCAACAAAAATATGCTTCACACCAGAGCAATGACATTAATGTGTCCTGGCCCAGAGACTTTAAAAGACTGAAAAAAAAAAAAACAAAAACAAAACAGGGAGAATTACTTATATTTATTCAGCATATTGTAGCTTAGTATTTGTGGGTTTGAAGAATCAAACATTTAATACTGAATCATCCCCGAAGTGAGCCACTATATCGTATTCACATTAAACTAGCCAGCTCCCTTGAGTAGCGGGG